AAAACGCGCAAAACCATCATTTAAATAGGGCGTCACCAACAGTTTTGCACCTGCCACCAGTTACGCAATCGCTCTTGTTAAATCAGCCGCAAACCATGGTTCATTTTAGTAAGTAGTTATTGTTGCTATTTTTTTTATTGTTACTGAGTCAGTAACTTCTTAACTGTCCAATCAAAGGAACTTGTTACCAGCCAAAGTAACTACTCAGTTCCTTTTCATGATCTCAAATCTCAATGAATTATCCTGATGACTTTTTTGTTATATTAAAATTAGAAATAAGAAACAAATCTAGCATTCTAAATTTGAATTGATAAATAAATCATAATAAATTATCTGAAATGTGTGGTGGATCAGTCAAGACACTGAATTGCAATGTAGAATGTAGAGATGCTCATTATGTATATTCATGATAAAAGAAAAACAAAGAAAACTAGATGCTTTAGAACACAATATTTATGCACTTAAACAAGCTTCAACTGGCTATAGATAGCAATAACAAATTGTGCCTTTTAGTGCGAGGGACCGAGCCAGCCAAGCATGAGGACACAGTGGTGATTGTCAAGAAAATTGGGTTTTATTTCCCCAAAGTAACAATAATCCAAGCAAAGATTTTAGGGCCCTTAAAAGAGGTCAAATGATGAGACTAACTGTCACGGGTTTGTTGCAAAAATACAAAAAATGATGGCCCAGCCGAAAAAATATTGTTTGTGCTTTTTTTTCTTTTATTGCTCCCCAGGTGGAAATAGTGAAACAGTGACGATATTTACAGTGAAGCGAGAAAACAAAAAACAAGTATTTACAGGACTATTTACAGGACAACTTACTTGGACAGCCAACACTACCATCGGTTCCAGTACTCTCTTTCAAATGAGCTTAGCTCCCCTTTAAATACCCCTTTAGCCCCTCCCCCGGGTAAACCAAAATACAAATTAAGGGGTTTTTAAGGATAAAAACAAAACAACCAAATAACAAAACTAAAAACTCAGTTTCCTGCATAGAAACTAAAAATTAAACAAAATAACTCCATACAATGTTCAAAATGTCAGGAACATAAACAATATAAAAATACAAAACAAAACACCCAAAATGGTTGAGTCCTTCGTCACGTGACTGGCAAAGCGCGCCACTCTGCGCTATTTCCA